AGCTGTTGTGGGGAGAGGTGTCCAATTACTAATCGTGAGGTTTTATTCATTGCATTAAATGCAAGGATAAGTTTGTGGGCAAACACTTCGATGGGGAGGCTGATTTCTCTGGCCTCCGGGATCCTGAACAGAGTTAGTAGGTCATGTCAGAAGGCATCATGATTCTTGGGCCGTGAAGAAGCAGATGTTGCTGGTGCTGGATGTGGACCAAGCCAATGGCAATTAATGCTGCCTTTGTTTCCACTTGAACGTAGGGCTGGGGAGGTTTCCACTCTGTGAAGACGGGCCCGAGTTGCACTGGCAGAGCTTGTAGGACCAGGCTGTCTCTTGTTGCTTGCTTTCAGTTGTAGCTTCATTTATCTTGTCCTTTAATACCAGTTTACATCAACATGCAGGTTAAGTAAGAATTACAGGAAGAATTGCAGTGTTTATACTTGTTTAGTATATGCTGTTGTTTGGTGTATGATCCAACATTTTTCCTAAGACAGCACATATTCAGTGAATTCCTATCATACTTCCTTGAAGGAAGGCCTACTAAAGGAATACAAATGTGAAGGAATAGATTTTTCAGATGCATCACAGTAAATCTCACAGAATTAGAAAACAGCAATTTCTAGATTCTCCTGACACCATAATTATGAATCATAGTCTGTCATGAGGCTGTGTAATAGAAAGACACAATGGTTTGGGTTGGAAGGGACATTAAAGATCATCGAGTTCCAACCTCCCTGCTGTGGGCRGGGACACCTTTTCTAGGCTAGGTTGCTCTAAGCCCCATTCAACCCGACCCTGAACACTTCCAGGGATGGGGCATCCGCAACTTCTCTGGGCAGTGAGTCCCAGTGCTTCACTGAGAGGCTCATCCGCTGAGCTGAACAGAGCAAATTGAAATCTGGGTTTCTGTAAGCATAGTGGATAGCTTTTAATTTTAATGATAAGTGTGATGAGAGGGACAGGCAGGATTTCCTTGTGGCATTAACTGTATTTCTAATTTTGCTCTGGATGGCAGCTTTTGCAAATGAGCTCTGAGAGTWAATATCCCTTCTAAGTGATTGGCTGAGTGAAGGGCTCTTAATGTAGTGGATAGGGGGAAACCACAAACTTGCAAGGTCTGTGTGGAGACTTGACTGCTGCTGTTCTTCCTAGCTGAGAACTAGGTCAAGTGAGGCTGTAGGTTGGCTCTCTAAAGGTGAAGGAAAGGAATTGAACTCATCACTAGGGCTTTGTGTTGAGGTTCCAGTTYCTCATGCTTTACAATAGCTGTTGCACTAAGTCTGCTGGAGTGTATACTGTTAGAAATAACTCTTTTGCTTGTCCTTATTCTTGGCCATGCAATAACAATCTTCTCCTTTGTTCTCACTTGACAGGAATAATGTTTCCAACATGTCTGTGCAGTCACTGCTTTGTGAAAGAATTGCTGTTGCCAAAGACTTGATCAAGAGAACAGAAGCCCTTTCCAAGTCCCAGAAGAGGAGAATAGAAGGTGGGGCAAAGCTATGTAGCAAACTAAAGGCTGAGCTGAATTTCTTACACAAGGTGGAGGCAGGGAAGGTGGCCATTAAAGAATCCCATCTGCAGAGTACAAACCTTACCCACCTCCAAGCCATTGTTCAGTCAGCAGAGAACCTGGAGGACGTTGTCAGTGTCCTCCATGTTTTTGCTTATGAGGACAGGTTTGGAGACAAACAGACGCTGGTGGTAGATGTTGTTGCAAATGGAGGTCACACATGGGTGAAGGCCATCGGTCGTAAAGCTGAGGCCCTGCATAACATCTGGCTGGGAAGAGGCCAGTATGGTGACAAAAGTGTCATTGAGCAGGCAGAGGACTTCCTGCAGGCAAGCCATCAGCAACCAGTGGAGTACAGCAATCCCCATATCATCTTTGCATTCTACARCAGTGTGTCCAGTCCTATGGCAGAGAGGCTCAAGGAGATGGGAATATCTGTGAGAGGAGACATCGTTGCTGTGAACTCATTGGTAGAACCATCAGCAGAAAACAAGCATCTTAACATCAGTGAATCAGATGAAGAAGGCCCTGAACTCCTGCAGGTGACCAGAGTAGACCGGGAGAATTTAGTGGCCAGCATTGCTTTCCCTACCCAGATCAAAGTAAACGTCTGCAATAGAGTCAACTTGGACATCACTACCTTAATAACCTACGTCTCTGCACTGAGCTATGGTAGTTGCTACTTTGTCTTCAAAGAAAAAGTGCTGACAGAGCAAGCAGCCCAAGAAAGGAGGGAGAGAGTCCTGCCTCAGCTAAAGGAATTCATGGAGGGAAAAGAGCTCTTTGCCTGTGAATCTGCTGTCAGAGATTTTCAGTCCATCTTGGAAACGCTGGGAGGACCTGGAGAGAAAGAGCGAGCTGCATTGCTTGTTAAAAGAATTAATGTGGTGCCAGATCAGCCATCTGACCGTGCCATAGGACTAGTGGCTAGTTCAAAAATCAACAGCCGCTCTCTAGCCATTTTTGGGACAGGAGACACTTTAAAAGCCATCACCATGACTGCAAATAGTGGGTTTGTGAGGGCAGCAGCCAACCAAGGTGTTAGGTTCAGTGTTTTTGTCCATCAGCCACGAGCATTGACAGAAAGCAAAGAACCTTTTGCCACACTTTTACCAAAAAGCTGCCCATCTGATAATGGAAGTTAGTAATGTAAGTACTACTGGTGTTGCAGTAGAGGCATTTGGAGAAACAAGAATCAGAGCAATACAGTTTTGGGTGTGTATCAGTGACAACAACTGGCATGGAAGAGCTCCTCAAGGGATTTGTCTTTACACCTTCCTAGAGGTTTTGTTTTTGTTCAGCTGACCATTAATTTATTCATGGAAGTAATAAGATTTCAATGAAAATTGTTAACTGGCTTACAATGTATTAATTGTATCCATCCCTATTAAAAAGTTCAGTTAAAGCACAGTTACTGTCGGACCCTTGTCATTTTTATCCTCTTCAGAGAAGTAAAATTAATCATTTTAGATGATCTTAGGGCTTGACTTCATAGAAGTTCAATCTTTCTTTGCCTTTGCCCTATTCTATTCAACTTAATTTTCATTTGATTCAGAGAGACCTTGTGCAGAGTTCTGTACCTTTTGGGGGGTATGATATTTTGTGAAGACATTACTAGTTGCCATGAATAGAAACCAGCTTAAGCCTTCCTTGTCTTCCTGAAAGGAACCTCTGTATGTATAACATGGTTAKACTGAATTGRGCAACAGCTTTAAAATTCCTGGGRAAATGAGTTGAAATCAGAGTTTATCTGCATTCATATCCTGTGGCTCTTGAACTAAACTGGAGAGCCAGTGGTAGCAAGCCAAAGCGGCAGATACACTTAATTTTCTCTTAGCCCTTGCCCAAATGTGAAGTCTTGCTGGGTGTGAAGCTCAACCCAAGGCTTCAGATAACAGAATCCTAAATTGAGCCAGCACCCAGGTAGTTTTTGATATTAGTGTACTCTTTGATGAGGACTCATGATGAGCTTGAATCTGTTACAAGTGGATTACCTGAARCAAAGCCTCAGTGAGGTCCTTCAGTGCTGGCATGTTGGAGGAGATTTGCAGGTATGTTCTTAAATCCTAGTTTGCTCCTATGTTGTAGAGAGAAGCCTTTTCGCTCGTGGTGTAATTGCTTTTTATTCAAAGTGTAGAATAAACAATTCCTTCTGTTGTATTTTTTATTTCTTTTTTTTTTTTTCTTTTTCTTTGCCCAGGACAGATTGCTGTTTTAGAGCCTTTCTCATGTTTTTTTCCCTGAATGCTGTAATGGCAGCACTTGGTGTTTGGTATCCATTTTCATCCGTTTCCTGGTGGAAAGTTTTGAAATGTCAGAATGAAGCACTGGGTCCTGAGCTATACATTTTTATCAGGTCAGTGAAAGAGATATCCACTGAATTTTATATAGGCTGTTGTTCAACACAATTGCATTATTATGCAGTTTAAAGTTCAGGCAAAGAACATTCTCTTGCCTCTTGCCACTCCACTCTAAATTTTTTCCTACAGCACAGTGTATCTGCAGTGCTGCCCTTAGCCATCAGCTTAACCTATTTCTTTCTGGACCCCAGCAAAGATATTGGAATGCCAGCAAAACCACTCWGCATGCCTTGTCCTTCTGTCCAAAGGGCAGAAGTGTACTTGCTGGTGGGATTTTTGCTCTGCTCTTACTATGCTCATAGAGTAAAATATTAGGAGTTGTCACCAGTAACCACATGCTGCATAGCTTTACCTGAAACTTTTGGCAATGTGGAGGACAGGTATGCTCTCTATGCTCCCTTTTTTCTGTGAGTCTCTGAAGTAGTTCATGGAGTTTAATTAAGATGGGTGGAACTGGATTTTGGTTTTGCTTCTTCAGCATCCAGTGTAGTACCTGCCAGTTTGTCTGCACGTCTTTGGTGAATTTAAATAAAACATCTAGGTTGCTCCTACAGTCTAACACAGTGTAATGAAACCTCATGGCAGGATTCATCCTTCACTGTATCCATTAATTTTCCTTCAAATTCTGATGGGCAAGGAGGATCAACTTAATGAAGCAATATCAATAATATGTTGACTATGGATASTGGCTTGGCAACTTTGCCAGCTCCTTCAGGGCCGATGTATGAGTCTCATGGGGACCCATGGACTTCTGAACATTCAGCTTCCCTGGGTGGTCTCAAACCTGATCCTCTCCTGCAGTGGGCTCAGGGTCTTCATTCTCCCAGTCCCTGCACCTGCCTTTCTCAATTTGGGTGGTGTGGCTGGAGCACATGCTGTTGAAGACTGAGGCACAGAAGTTGTTGAGAACCTCAGCCTTCTCTTTATCCAGGGTAGCCAGGTCTCCCTTTTCCTTCTGGAGAGGGCCCACATTACCCCTGGTCTTTTGCTTGCAAAGTATCTATAGAAGCCCTTCCTTAATATTATCCTTAATATCCCTGGCTAGAACAATTCTAACTGGGTCTTGGCTTCTATAACCTTGTCCCTAGCTTCCCGAACAATTTCCCTGTTCATTTCAGGCCCCCTGTCCTCCTTTCCACTTTCTGAAAGCTTCTTTATTTGCTTTGAGTTTGAGAAGCTCCTTATCCATCCATAGAGGCCTCCTGGCATTTTTGMACAATCTTCTCCTTGTTGAGATAACCTTTTCTGAGATTGGAGGAGGTGAAATTCAGCCAACATTCTTGAACCCCTCTGCCATCCAGGGCTCTGTTCGATGAGACTCTACCAAATAGATCCTTGAAGAGGCCGAAGTCTGCTCTCCCAAAGTCCAGGGCAGTGAGCTTTCTGGGTGCCCTCCTTGCTGTCCTCAGGATCACAAGCTCCACCACCTCTTGGTCACAGCAGCCAAAGCTGCCTTGGAGCACTACATWCCCCACCAGCTCCCTCCTCTTGGTAAGCACAAGGTCTAGTATGGCACAAAAGAGACTTCTTTCCTTCTTTGCCAAATGATTCCCATCATCCCCCAGTAAACCAGGCTTAGCAAAGCAAGTCCCATGATCTGAATAACCAAAACCCYGACTAGGGCACCACTGGTCTAGCTATTTGTTGACCTGCCAGATTTATTTGGATATTTCAAGTCCCTCTCCTTTGACCTGGAGGATTAATGAAARAACTGCTTGAGCTCTATGGCTCTTTACTATCTCTCCCACGGCTCTGCAGTCCCTCTTAATGCTTCCCAGACTGGTGCCAGCTGTATCTATCACTGGCTCCTACATGAAGCACAAATCGTGAGTAATAGYCTGTGTTTGAATAGGCTTGGGAGCTTCTCAGTCATGTCCCAGATCCAGGCTCCTGGAAGGCTGCACGGCTCCCTCARGAGTGGGTCAGGCTGACAAATGAGTGCCTCTGTACTTCATAAAGTGGAATCACTCACTGCTATCACCTGCCACCTTTTCTTGGTTGAACTAGTTGTTAATTTCTTTATTTGTGGAGCGAGTGAGYGAGTGTTCAACTWATTTTCCCAGGAATTTTAAAGCTGTTGCCCGATTCAGTCTAACCATGTTATACATACAGAGGTTCCTTTCAGGAAGACAAGGAAGGCTTTAGCTGGTTTCTATTCATGGCAACTAGTAATGTCTTCACAAAATATCATACTCCCCAAAAGCTGCTCCAGTTACCTCTGGCTGTCTGAGGTAATGAAGTTCCTTTTCACAGTGGCTTTTGACAGAGTTGAAGCCATAGTTACTCCTCTTCCATTTTGATGGATAGTGATTCCCTYCCTAAGTTTTGTGCCCTGCCTTTGCACCCTGCCCAGGCAAACCCTTGTGCTCTCTGGAGCTGTTTAAATCTCCTTCGGGTGCTCCTGGAAATGCCCCCTCCTTGCCAGTGATTTATCACCGATTAATCTCTTTTACAATATTACAGTATATAGTCAAAGGCAGGCGCATGGCAACAGTACACTTATGCATGAAAATTCATTATGGCCTTTTAATCCTTTGTATTTACGTTAATTTGCTCACAACATTTTTATCCTGACAAGGGCTTTGAGTGAGCAATTGGAAACAGATGCTTCATTCTGCTTCTTGCTGTGACGCTTTAGACATATGTTTTCATCATTTTCCTTGTATTCCATTCAGCAGTCTTGAGTATCCTCTTGGAACCCTCTAAGGAAGAATCTCCAAGCCACAGATGCGAGGACAGTGACCCACATTTTAATTTGGTAGGTGACCCAGAGAAATCAGTGAAAAGCAAGTGACCTCTGTATTCCCAGGATCAGCAGTGGGGGARCTCTGCGGTATTCCTTCACCGCTGCTGCGACAGAGCTGGCTGGCTTTTGCAGTGACACTTTTTTGTGACCAGTAAGTGCAACTGTGTTTAAAAACCTCTGTATCTGGAGCCACCGTGTGGTGATTTTCTTCATTACCAGTCCTTTTTGACCAACACGGTATTTGTTACTGAATCAATTCTCTTTTTTTCTTTCACTAGTTTCTGCCAATCATATAGGCAATATTTTCCGAATATGAAACTCTTTCTGCATGCTAGAGTACAACTGGAGAGTTTTATTGTTATTTTCTGTCTCTCTCTTGTATCTTTCAATGAAAAACACAGAATAGGTTTCTCACCCAAAAAGGGGGGGAGGTTGTTTTTTTTTTCTCCAGTGTGTTGCTGACTTATGAGTCAAAAAATTGTAGTGATGACAGACTCTAAAAATTGTGTTACAATATGAAAGAATGCTGCCTTGGAAACAAAATGTGTTTTGATTTTAATATTTCGTGGCTTTTATATTGCCTTTGAATATACACATATAAACCAGTGTTTTGGTTYGGAGCATTTAGGTATCTTCTACTTAATTTCACAAATCGGGGATTAAGTCTTGAATTTCCCTTATTTATGACTTTGCAAATGAGTAATTAGAAGATGCAAAATTATGTTTGAAATTAAGTTGAAGAAATGGAAATCCAACATCACTCAGCTGCCTTGTCTGCACTACACCAGGCACGCAGAGGATGCTGCAATGTCTCACTTGGTGCTACAGATTTTGTTTGGGTTTTTTTATTAATGGAAATTTTCAGCGTTAAGCAAATTGAAAAAGATGGATTCCTAAATTGTTTTAGGGAACCTTTTTCTTCTGACATTTTAAAATTTATTTTAGATTATTTGTGTATCGTCTCTTGAGGAAAACCAACATCTCTGTGCAGCACTCAGCCTGCTCTCGGTAAGAATGCCAAACAAAGAATGCTGCAATTTATGCCAGACAGTAGAAAGCACTTGGATATTATATGAGAAATAAATTGGTAAGTTAAGTTTTTAATACATTCACGTGTCTGTGTGTGTTCTTTACTTGCTGTTGGTCTGGCTGACAAAACTTGTAGGTCAATGATTTATTTGCCATTGTACCTGCAAACTATGAAAACACACAGAGATAGTTTTTGCATATTTGTAGTCACAGCAGTTTAAAAGTTAATGAGCTAAATAGTGGTTTGTGTTTCAAACTGCCCCTGTCATCTGAGG